GCACCTAGTTTAATAAAGACTTGTTATGTCGTGGTATGTACCATAGAGTCAGAACAGACCCAAAACTGACCCTCTGGTGGGTTTTCAGGGGCAGTTAATTGCATCGGAGGAGATTGCCCATTCTTCTCCAGCAGAGCATCTGGGGCTTCCAAGCATGTACTTTTGGGATTGCGCACAGCTTCTTGAAACTTGATATATCAGTTGATATATTTTATTCATCTGCGCTGCAATCCCAAAGCCACATGGTTTGAATCCACCAGCTGCTTTGTGGGAGAAAGATGGGCAATCTCCTCTGATGATTAACTGACTCAGAAAACCTACGAGAGAGTCAGCTATGGGTTGGTTCTGATTCAACAGTACACAACAACAACATACTATAGAAACTTGAATGTGCAGATGACAGTAAAGTATGCAAGAAAGAGGTTTCACTGAATACAAACACCATATGGAAAAGGAGAGTCTGAAGTATTTGGAATGACTAATTGGCAGTAGTCAGTGTAGGATCTATACAAACTTCAAGAAGTCAGTTTTAGGTCACTAGATAGAAGAACTGACTGAAAATGTGGAATGCTACCTATGCACATAACTCCTATCTTCCCTCACTCTCATTAAAAGCCCTAACCTAAAATTAGGAAGGCTAGAACACTTGTGAACTAGCCCTTGTCTTGCACGTAACAATGGTAGTCTAAACATCCTCAACTGGATAAATAATCTTTCAAGACACTTTCTTCTTTATTTTATGATAAAATATATGCAATCATTAAAGTAATTTAATATTAAATAAGGTGGTTTTAAAGTAAGATGCTACAGAGAAAGTTATTAGTATATATATGAAAATTATATTTACCAGAAATAAAATACTATTCCCTAAAGTAGTTGACTTATGTTAACAACAATGTAGAATATTTTCCTTTAATGACATTAGACAGTTAAGAGAAAGTGTCATATGAACTAAAAGAAGTAAAAGGTAAAAATTTTTAAAGAAATGGAAAGAGTTAAAATTCATATAAAGTGTAAGCAAATATCAAATAAGTTCTACTAATTAATGAAAATCTAAATGTAAAAAAAGGCCACATTGAAGTAAATAAGCAGTTTTGTCATATCCCTTATAACAGCAATACCATCTGACTACCCAAGACAGAAAAATTTAAATAAAAATGTGTTCAATTTTTTTAAAAAAAGTAAGCTACAAACTCAAAGAGGATCATTTCTTGAACTTGTCAATGCTTTGAAGTTAATGAACTAAAATTCTGAGGTTTGTTGTTTCCTTTTTTAAAATTGTTCAGGTCTCTGCAGTCATTTTTATGTATTATCTTTTCCCACCTTTGGGATTGATACACTTTTTGGTGGAGAAGCTGCATTTTATCAGAAGGATGGAAAATACTGTCCTTGGCTGAGATGCTTTTCTCAGAAGTAGGCTATTTTTGTACTCTATGCTTAGCATATTTAAAGACACACATTCCAGGTGAGCAGTTTACTCCAAAGTGTATTTGAATTTTATTTGTTGATGAGGCTTTATTGCTTCTGTACCTCCCCTTTGTGGTTTCAACATTGCCTTCATAAAGGTTGTTGCGATAACATGCTATTGAATCAGTTCTGAGTTCCAGCAACTCTACATGCAACATAAACGCTACAGATTCCTGCACCCTCTTCTCAATGGCTACTAGGTTTATACCTTGTGGTGCAACCACTGTGTCAAGCTCTCTCTTTGAGGGTCTTCCTCATTTTGTGTGACCTTCATTAAAAATGTCCAGAGAGTTCATTGCTGGTAACTATAGGTGCAAAGATTCTTTCATATCAAAAATAATGACAATTGTCATGGCCTGAGGGCAAATTATGTTCTACTAGATGATTAGAAAGGATAGAAATTTATAATCCAACTAAATTCTGATACAAAAGAGAAAAACTCACTTCCAAGATTAACTTCACTATAAAAGGAAATAATAAAACAATATGGCATTAAAGAATTGCCATATTTATGATTTTCCCAATCTAAAATTAACCATAGAAATCAAGATACACTAATTAGTTCTTCTAAATAGTTCTTCTGTATTAACTATAACTGGATAACATCTCATTGAAAAAAAAATAATATTAATATACTGGATAACTTTTTATGGAGGGGAAAGAAGAAATAATAGTAGTATATTGACTGGAGAAATAGCCGAGAAAGAAAGGAGTGGAGAAGGTCACTTAGAGGTCCAAGAATTTCTTAGCTCTGAATTGTCAATATCCAGGCAAACTAGATCCCATGCTAAATAGTGCCCAGATGGTAGAGACAACACTGCAATGTGGTCTTAGCCGCTTTTTGACAGGAAACTGTCACCAGTAGGTGACCCGATCATTCTGACGGCAGGAAAATTACTAAATGATCCAAAAAAGTGCCTGTAGGCCAGAACACCATGCTCCCCAGGAAGTAGAAGGGCAGAACCTTAGGGGGAAAATGAATTTTTAGTTGAAGCTCAGGCAAAGGCAGTTATTACATATCTTTACAGATTAAAAAACTAAATAAAGACATTTTACATTCTACAAATTATCTTTGAAAATTAATAATATATCATATGTAAATGGCAAGGAAAATGGTGTAAATTCTTGGCAATAAAATAAACCTCAAAGTCATCCATGATATGTTTCTATGAACCCAATCCAGCCTGCAATCAATTATGATAGTTTAGAGACCGAATCTCTGCACACAACACAAGTCAGCAGGAAGGAAGGAAACAGAGTCACCAAAACTAATGCAAGGGGACATTTTAATAGGGCCATGACCTTAATAGAATTAGCAAACACATGTTCAGTCAGTTGTTCAAATTCATAATTCTAGTTGTTAAAAAAAAAACCTGCTGACACTCTTTTTTTCCAAAGTGAAGCAACTTGAAAATAGATTGATAATTCAAAGTTGTTCCACCATCCTTCTTGCCAAAGTTGTTACAATGACACATGGTTACAAAGCTAAAGTATAAAAATAAAAACTGATTTCTTCCCAATAAAAAGAGCTTTAACTCCTAACTTCAATAGTCAATTACCTACCTTGGAGGATGAAGAATTTTTAAATATTTAATAAATTACTTTCATGTTTGCTGTTACCAATTCCTTTTAGAGAAAGCTCTTCAGGGCTGATTTCTGAGCACATTTGCATCGTGAAATTTCAGAATGTTCCATCTAAACACTAGAAAAACTATACTAAATATTAAAAGTAGGAAGTGCAAATAGTGACATGTAAGAAATTAATACCTCCATGTAAACATATATTACTGAATTAATATATGAAAATAAGCATATTTTTGTTGGAAAATGCAGTATATGCTTTTTTTTAAAAAAGATCAAGATTCAGAAACATTAGTCAGTTTTTAAAAGTAAAAAATTGTAAAGAAATTGCAAAGAAAGTTTCTTTCAAAAGCAAAGTCTGAAATGACAATGTAGAATTCTAGAGCATTTTTGTTTGTTTTATCTAAAAACTCTTCTCAACTTTTGAACTGTCTGTGTTTATGAATAATAACCACAATTAATTTCTTGATTTCTGAAATAAGAACTCATACCAGAAATAAAAAATTGTCTAAAACATAAAGTTATGCCCTGTGGTTTCATTTTAATAATTTAATTTTGTGAAATATGAATACATCTAGCAATACCCTCAAGATTCTTTTTCACATGTCATCATGAACAAATGAACTGTTGTAGGCATTAATTTATAACCCAGGCCTCAGTTTCTTCCTAAGGAGGAAGTTACAGATGACCTCAAAAATCTAAGATAAAACAATAATTTATATAGGCTAAGACAAAGAAAAGAGTAAAGAAAATGTTCATGTAAGAAATTCTTTGGGAATTCATGTCTATAAGTCTCTGTAAAACTGAAAGCTGTTCACTTCAGGTAAATATACCTCATTTAAGCCATTTTAAATCTGACAACTTCTCCTACTTTGCTAGTAATTTTTAGTCTAACTTTCAAGCCTGATGATAAATTATCACATTAGACACTCCCCAAAAGGACTAGCAACTAAAACTCAAATACAAGATGTTGTCAGTGCTCTTTCCCACAAAAAAAGGTGATTCTTGTGATAAGTGTATCTTAATAATTTTAATATATGTATGTAATTGTTGTTGTTGATTACAGTCGAGTCGAGCACAACTCATAACAACCCTACAAATTAAAGGCCTGAATCCTTTCTATAACTATACAATATATATATTGTTGTTGTTGATGATGATGATTATCTTCCAGTCAAGCACAACTCTTGGTGACCCTATGAACAAAAGGCCGGAAGCCTTTCTATAACTATTGACATTTATCAAAGTTCATAGAGTTTCTGGAGGCATGGTGTTTAGAAAGTGGATGCCACTCCTGCATGCAAGGAGAGAGAGAAAAAAAAAAACCCTAACAATTTCTGTTATACATTTTCCCTTTCCATACTAGATACTCTAGAAGTTTAAATTTAAGTTTCTAATTTGAGAGAGGCGGTTGTACACAACCTGCATTCACAGGTAAGTCTGGAATGTATAAGAGACTACATCAACACAAAGAAACACCTTCAGCTCTTCTAGGCAAAATAAAGATTTCACGTGCAACTTGTAGATAGTGATTCCTTTCAGCCACTCTTTCCTGTTAGATGAGCCCTTGAAACTTTTCAAATCAGAGCAAATCACGTAAAGATAATGTCACACCTGTAGCCAATAAGCCAATGCAAACTCTGAACATGAGGGCAAATAACCAAATAAATCTAAAAAAGAAAGGAAAAATAATACAGTCGGGCACTTTGCATGGTGAGACCGGTATCTTTTTCAGCTCCCACTATCTCCAGAAGCACCATGGGATACAGCTTTCCTCCACTGTAATTAAGGAATGAGGAAAGAAGAGAATGCCTGGTGGGCGTGTACACACAAGGGTGAAGTCAGTTCCCCACGTGGCTGGAAATAAGTAGGGCCAATACTATGATGCCAAGCGCCCATCAAGCAATGCCCTGGCTCCCTGGGAACCTTTCTTTTCCAAATGCAATGCCTACCTTCTGTGTGGACTGCAGAGACATAGGTCCAGTTGTAACGCTTGACTATGTCAAGCATCGCCCTTGCCTGTAAAGTGTCAGACGGCACCACCCTCAGGAAGTACTTGTACAAAGTTTTGTCACTCAGGTCGATGCTCGTGGCGGAGTAAGCAATCTGAGGGATGTCGAAGAGCTGGAGCAGGTTCTGCACTTGAATGGCCACGGAACTGGAGCCCGGGCCGATCACGCCCGCGATGGGCTTCTTAGTCCTGCCTGGAGGGAGGGGCTGGCCGTCTGGGAGGCACCGGTTGAGCCCATCCTTCTCGTCTCTGATGGAAATCAGTGAATCCCGGATGAACTCAATGCTCTGCTCCAGGGCCACGGAAGAGTGCCAGCAGGAATCCCGGATCTCACTGCCCAGCGTGATGTTGGGCAGCAGCGCCGGGTCCGCGTTGATCTTGTCCAGGGTGTGGAACATGGCCTCCACCCTCTGGATGCCATACTGCTCTCGGATCTCCCCGCACTTCCTCTCGGGCACCTTCTCAGCGGGAGGCTGGTGGTGGACAGAGAACAGGGCCCCAATGATGACATCGCCGTCCATTCTGGCCACGGAGCGCTGAGAGGAGGCTCCCGCCAGCAGCACTCTCCTTCCCGGCTTTCTGGGGAGAAGGGTTACCTCCAAGAAGATCGCTGGGAAGAAGACCCAGAGGAATCCAACCATGGTGCCAAGGAGTGGTCCACACAGGCCACCTCGTTTGCCGGGCCCGCCTGCCTGTGGTGGGCGCACTCCTCCAAGACGCCCGACGCCCCTTCTCGCGCCTCTATCCCCCTTTGTCAGCACAGCTGTTCTGTTGGCTTTTGCTATTGTCACCACTACCCCTGGCCTCCAATTCTCCTTCTTTCAAGACTGTCTCTGGGCACTCGAGGCGTCTGGAGGAAGAATTCCAAGTTGCCTTTATTCACAATGCATTAAGGTAAAAGATCAAAGACACAGTGGGCTTCTTGGTTGCAGCTTCGAGGTGGACACTGTAGACAAAAGAGGGAAGAGGGGGGGAAATTCCCATTATCAGAGGAACTGTGTCAAAACTCGTGGGTCAGTGATGCTAATAGTCCCCCGCCCGCCTGCACCTCAGTACGCACAACCTAATAACGCGGACTGGGCAGCTGTGTCTGCGGAGGCACCTCTGGTCAATGCGGACAGTGGCTGTCCCGCCCCAGAGTCCTCCCAGGTCCCAGGCAGCGCGCCCCTCCATCACCCATCCCCTCCTCAAAGTCCAGATCCTCCAGGCCCCTCAAGTACCCACGCGACCCCATTTAAACACTTGAGAGACGGGAGGTGGGGAGCGGAGGGGAGGAGCTAGGTAGTAAATCCTATGAGAACTTTCCAAATTAGAAAAGATCAACTTTTCCCTGAAGAAAATGTTGAAACTTTTCCAATAAAAAGGTGGAAACGCCACTTCAAGGTGAACAAAAAGGCAAGAGGTGTCCCTATTACTCTAACTTTGAGAGGCTGAGGAGACCCTGGTATGCAATCCAAGCAGCAAATACAAATTTGCCGGTTTAAGGAAAATCTATATTAGTTACTAAGGCAACGCCTGGGAAAGTCTAGGTTGGAGTTTGGTGTGATTCCCCCTAGGAAGTCAGGCTTACTGTACATGTTCTGAAAAAAAGGGGTAAGTTGTCTCTCACCGAGACACAGGGAAGGGGTCAGGAGGCCCCTGTACGTACTTCTTCCCTAAATGAGGACCGTTTAGCTTTGCAAAGGTGATAAAAAGAAAATCAAGTGTAGCTTCGAGATTGCCTTTGCGGCTCCAGCCTGAGCGCCCCCGATTTCAGCACCGTGGACAGTGCTCGCCCTCCAGACATTCCTCCACACCGCGGGGAAGGGATGCATGCGCCCGGGAATTGCATTCCATCTCCCCGACAAGCAGAAAATTCAAAAAAAAAAAACACACACACACACACACACACACACACACACACACACACACACACACACACACACACACTCCACCCGAACCACAAGCCGAAAGCCTTACAGTCTGTGCTCCAGCAGGTAAACCTAATCGCTCCAGGGCACAGAGGCGCCAAATTTCAGCCGCCTGCTGGGCTGAAGTTGGCTCCCTCTCTCGTCCCTCCCAGTCCCTTTTCTCCTCAAGGTGAGAGTGGGACTTGAAAGGGGCTGTGGGAACGGGTGGCAACAAGAGGATGGGGAGGGAGAGGAGGCTAAAGGAGAAAGAGAGCCAAGGCTCTCACGAGTCCGAAGCTTCCCGGGGATGCAGGGTTAAAAGCAATAAATAGAGGAGGATGCGCCTGGACCAGTAGGGGAATCCAACAGATTGGGGCAGATTCTGCCGCTCTCGGTGGGTGGGTTTCATCACCGGGAGGTGCTCGCTCACCTGGTCTATTTGGAAGGCTTGGACTTGGTCATACCTGAGTCTGAGTCTGATAGCAGCGCTCTGGTCCTGGGGCCAGGGGGACCGCAGCCACACTCCAGTCACAGGCGCCTCCGCTGTAATCCACACTGTGCTAGGATGCGATCTGGGCTGTACACTAGTGCCCTCTTTCTTCAGCACTACTTTACCGCAAGGAAAAAACGGGGGGAGGGGAAAAAACAGGTCACCCGAGGCTTGTCTATTATCTCATGCATAAAAATCAGTCATTTGATGAAAGGGGGTGGAGGGAGACTAGGGAGAAATGTGGAATGTGGATTCCTTTACAACTGAAGGGTTCTTAAACGGGGCGCATAGAGGAATAATCAGAGCTGGTGAACGAACAGGAGCTGCCTGGACAGCTTTCGGGTGGTTAATCTTTCCATATACTTCAGGGATCCGGATACATTATTCTTTCCTGTAAGTGAAGCCCCTTTTGAGGGAGTAGTGTAGACATTCCATTCTTGTGTAGACACCTAGAGAAAGGATTTTCTAGGAGGTTTTGCAAGAAACACAGGGAAGAAGTGGGAGTGGGAGAAGAAGGGATGTGGCCAGAATGAACCAAGGTAAGCCAAAATGAAGGAGGCAAATCTTGGCTGCATTTTCCAGGTCAAGATGTAACTAAATTGAGAATGAGAGTCAGGTCACATGAAAAACACTGGAGTGAAAAACACTTATCCAAATTCTTTGCCGGCTGCCATCATCCTCCCCAGAGGTCTATGGTGCTGCATCTTACTGTGTGAAAAGTGGAAGCTCAATCATATCCCTGCAGGAACTCTTGGCTGGGCAGAGTGTACCCAGGCTTCCTCAGAGAGGAAGGGCAAGTGCCTGTGTGCTTCCCCACTGCGCTCAGCCCTTTGTGTTCAGCCCACAGAACAGAGGAAGTCACTTATGTGGGTCCCTTTCTAATCATCTTGTTCAAGTCATTATACTGTGGAATGGAGCTGTGTCAGGCTAGAGGGACAAATGACATGAGGTAGTTCTGCGTACTCATCGGAGTGTTCTATGACATTTAGGGGGGGCTAAACAAAGCTTTAGTTAAAAACAAATCTTTCTCTTCTGCATCTGGCCCCACCTCAACTCGACATGTGAGACCTTTTTAGACTCTTCTTGCACTTAGGGAGCATGTTGTTCTGTTGCGTACTTTTGAGTGGGAACTGGCTCATAGCTGACCCTCCAGCAGGTTTTCAGAGGCATTAATTCCCCGGAAAGAGATTGCCCATCCTTCTCCCATGAACCAGCTGGTGGATTCAGATTGAATGTCTTTGGGGTGGCAATGCAGTTCCTTGCCACTGGACTACTTGTGTCAGCTACAGGTCAATTTTGACTCAATGGTAGATAACTACAGGCCACTAAAGCTCCATATGTATATCTTTAGCACTAAAGCACTAGACTCCTCTAAGAAATAATTGTTTTTGTTATTATGTGCCATCTAGTCAACTATGACTCATAGTAATAGGATCTGAACCCTGCCCTATCCTGAGCCAGCCTCACCATCTCAGTCACACCTCATCCCATTGCCACAATTTCTGTGTCAATCCAGTTCATCCAGGATCTTCCTCATCTGTGAGGATCCTCTACCCTTCAAAGCATGATGTCCCTCTCCAAGGATTGGTCCCTCCTGGGAACATGCCCAAAGTATGTAAGATGGAGCTTCAAAATCCTTGCCTCCAAAAAGCAAACTGGTTCACCCTCTCCAGAATAGACATATTTATTTCTTAGCACTCCACGGTATGTACGTTTGTTGTTGTTAACTGCTGTCAAATAGCTTGCGACTCATAGCGACTCTATGAATAATAGTTCTGAACCCTGCTCTATCCTGTGCCAGACTGTGTCTCTGACACACCCATCCGCATTGCCCCAGTCACTGAGTCAATCCGTCTCGTCCAGTCTGCCTTTTTTGCATTGGCCCTCTACCCTCCCAAGCATGCTCTCATTCTCCAAGTACTGGTCCTTCCTTGCAACACATCCAAAGTATAGGATTGTTTAAAAATGCTTCCACAATGCAAAGGTCACATAATCTTTGGACTCTCTAGGAATCAGTTCTGGAGATAACCATATCTTCATTGTTGTTGGTACTTGCTGTCCAATGAGCTCCAACGCAGGGAAATTTTATGTATAACCAAATAAAGCACTGACCAGTCCTGCGCTATCTTCAAGACTGTTGGTGTGCTTGATTTGATTTTAGGTATACTCATTGTTGCACCTGTCCTGTAGTGCCTGCCACCTTAGAGGACTCTTGTACAAGTAGTCCAGTCTCTGTCTCCACACACAGGGCAAAATACTTGTCTTGTTGGTTAGGGTTCTTTCTGCTTACACCCCTGGAGAATGCCAATTGTAAGAAGAAAATGTCAAGTTATTCAGTGCCCCATGCTCTTTTGTTTCACTTCCTCTTACAGGATTGCTGGTGACCTAGTGGTAAGAAGCTGTGCTGCAACCACAAAGGCATGAGGTTCAAATCCACCAGCTGTTCCACAGGAGAAGGATAGACAGTTCTTGCAGTTTGATTTACTGCCTCTCAAAACCCACTGGAGGGGCAGTTATGAGTTGATTCCAACTCCACAGAACACAAGCCAAATCTGCCGGTATAGTACGAGTAGGACTGCTAGCTGAAAGGTCAGAAGTTCAAATCCACCAGCATACTCCTTGTGTGAAAGCTAATTAATCTTGTCTCCTTAAGATGTATAGCCTCAGGATGAATCAGAATAAACTCAATAGCAGTGGGTTAAATAGTCATTTAAACTGCATTTTATAAAATACCAGTCTAGAAAAATAAGACCTAAATAGATTATCCTGGAATATTTCAGATACAATAAATAAGCAAAAATTTCCATGTATAGTTTTTGTTGTTGTTGTTGCTGCTGCTGCAATCATCGTTGTTAGGTGTCATTGAATGGACTCAACTCATAGTGACCCTACAAAAAACAGATGTTAACCATGCTCTATCTTGTGCCAGCCTCATCACCTCTTATATACACTTGAACCCTTTGCTGCACTCACTGTGTCAGTCCATCTCACTGGGGGTCTTCCTCTTTTTCACTGAGCCTCTACCTTTCCAACACAATATCCCTTTCTAAGGAATAGCATCTTCAAAAAAAATATCCAAAGTACGAGAGACAAAGCTTCAACATCCTGGACTCCAAGGAACACTCTGGCTGTACCTTTTCCAAGATATTTCTGTTCATTCTTTGACGGTTCATTAAATAGTCAGTACTCTTCTCCAACACCACAACTAAAAGGTATCAAGTATTCTTCTTATTTACTGTCCAGCTCTCTTAATGGTATATGTAGGAATATATATACATAATATATGTGTACGTGTGATGTGTGTGTGTATGGTGTATACGTATATATGTGCGGTATATATATAAATGGAATATATATATATATACACTAATGTTGTATATGAGATGAATCAATTCCGTGATTGAGGTGGCGAAAGTAGGTGTGTCTGAGACAGTGAGATTGGCACAGGATAGAGCAGGATTTAGGGTTCTTGTACATAGGGTTGCTTGCAAGTGACTCAATGGCACAGAACAACAACAACAAGAGTGTGTGTGTGTGTGTGTGTGTGTGTGTGTAAATATAGCCTTAATTATGACGTGGAATTATAGAAAGTAATGTCTTTGAACTCATATTTAACTTCAATACGTGTTCCTGTAAAGTGAATATAGTTTTAGAATAGTATATAGTAGTATATGGACATAGTTTAAGAAAAATTGCTACACAAGAAACATTCAGATTAATTTGTTCTTGAATTCACATCGTAGTTGAAGTAAAACCTACATGTGTAGGTTATTTGAACAAACACTTTAAAGAGAATTAGCTTGGAAGTTGCAATTTATTGGGGCTGGGGGAGAGGGAGAGAGGGTGTTAGTTGGTGGAGAAATGTCAAGTTGAAATCAATCCATGCTTGATGCTCCTGCAGGTTTTCAGAGGCAGTAAATTATATAAGAGAAGACTGCCCATCCTTCTCCCACTGAGCATCGGGTGAATTTGAGCTGTATGCCTTTGGGATTGCAGTGCATCTTCTTACCATTAGACCATCAGTGGTCCCCCTGTGTCAATGTCACTGCAGTTTGGGATGACAATGTCATTTCAAATTTGTCAATTAAAATTATTAATGTATTGGTAATTATTTAAAATCAAACTAGAAGGCACAAAGGCAAAACCAAAGCAAGAAGTAGTTGAGAAAAAGAGAAGACAAGCTTACGCAAATATACTTGGAGACTTTACCAAGAGAAGAAGAACAGAACAAATGCAAACACCTAAAGAACAGTTGAGAGGATTTTGGCTTAGTGGTAAGGATTGCACGGTTAATGCAAAGATATGCAGTTCAAATCCACCAGTTGCTCTGAGGGAGAAAGATGGGCAATCTCTTCTCATTCAATTTACTGCTTCTGGAAACCCACTGGAAGTGGGGTTGAATATAAATAGGTGGTGATTCAATGGTTGTTGTTGTCAGGTGTTGTTGGATCAAGTACAACCCACAGCAACCTTATAAATAACAGAGCTGAACCTGTCTATCCTGTGCCATCTTCACACTTCCTTACATACTAGAGCCCCTTTCAGCAGTCACTGTGTCAAACCACCTGGTCATGGGTCTTCCTATCCTTTGCCAACTCTCTACCTTTCAGAGTATGTCCCTCTCCAAGGAAAAGTTCCTCCTAGCAACATGCTTGAAGTATGTGAGGCAAAGCCTCATCATCCCTGCCTCCAAAGAGTACTCGGGCTGCACCCTCTCCGAAACATATTTGTTTGTTCTTTTGGCAGTTCATGGGATGTTCAGTGCTCTTCTCTAACACCACAGCTCAAAGGAATCAATTCCTCTTCTGTTGTCCTATTCATTTTCTCACTCTCAGACACATGGCAAGTGATCAGAAAGACACTGGTCTGAATCATATGCCCCTTAGTCCTCAAATTGACATCAATATTCCTCAATAATTTGGAAAGGTCCCTAAATGCAGATTTTCCCGGGCAATGTGTGTCCTGATCTCTTGAAAACTG